GGATTCGATCCGGAGTCCGGAACGGATTAAGTTCGAGAACCGAGGTACCACTGTATTTGAATCTTTGACAGTCCTGTTGTTGGCACTATATCCATTGTTTGCAGCAATCAAAAGATAAAAAATTGAGTACTCTCCAAAGTAGATGTTTTGAACGAATGAATGAATGGATGCTATTTATACAGCACTTAGAAGACACCCAAAGCACTTTACAGAACCAATGGGGAGCCACTTCATCCACCCCCACTGTGTAGCCCCCACCTGAATGACACTACCCAAGATCCCGTACGTCAAGCCATTCTGCACCAGTACGCTCACCACACAGTAGCTAAGGTGGTGAAGGGGCAGGGGAGGATTCACCCCGTTTTTTTTTTTTTTTGTCTATTGTTGCTCAGCTGATTAGATCATTTTGTAACCTGAACAGGTACGACCCAAAATGTGTGCTCTATGTGATTCTTTTTACTGCTGTCTCCTTATTCTACATCTTGGAAGAGTGTGTCCAAGGTGTCAGTTACTTTTACCTACACGCCCCATGTTAGCCTTCTTCCAAATTATCCCCCCACAGACGGCTACACGACGGACGACATTGAGTTCTACTGGAGAGGCGGAGATGGAGCCGTGACAGGAGTGGAGCGGATCGAGCTGCCTCAGTTCTCCATCGTGGACTACAAGCTCATCTCCAAGAACGTGGTCTTTTCAACAGGTAGAAGCTTGAGTGGCTGTAGGGTAGAGTCAGTCCCCATGACGGCCTCACTCACCGTATTATACAGCACTATAATCAGACTGCAGAACCTGGGTGTCTCTGCCTACCGCCGTGTGCTGTCCAAACAGCCCATTTCCTCAGGAATCTCATTAAACAGACATGTTTGGGCCTCTATTTTGGTACTGAGCTGTTCCTGGCGATGCACGCTGGAGAGGCTGACTAGCGTCTGGCTGAGAAAGTAGCCGGCTTTTGACATGGGGAGCTTTTGGGTGGCAGGAGGTCTCCCGCTGGGTTGTCTGTATGGTCAGGGACTGCTTACTTGGAGCCGTCAATGTCTGAGGAGGCCAGTCGATCCGGGCTGATCCAGGCCAAGCACCGGGGGTGATGGTGCTATACCGACCAGAAGCAGACTGATGAGTAACATGTTAAGAAAAGAACTTCCCTTTGAAGTATATTCTTCTAGTAACGGTGCCACATTTTTGGACACTAATTACTGATTATGTATTTCAGCACTATGGTAATACTTTACCAGTGACTCTTCCCTTAAAAAATGCCTGGACAATGGGACAGTGCCCTGTATTTAGTCTTTGCATAATTGGGTTGAACTACTGAGTGGATGATAAATTTACACAAGTTCATCTGTGTACCTTATAATACAGCAGGCATTCAAATCCCCAGCAAACCTGTAAAAAGTTCAGATTAAAGTGATCTTTTCAATCCCAAACTGTTTAGGAATGTGTGCAGTTTTTATTACATTTTCTCACATCATGCACTAAATTCACTTTTTTCCACTGAAATGCAAAGTGACACCGTAATAATTTTAATGCCTACCATGTGTTTATATTCGAACAAATACACAAGGTAGTGTGTTATTTGTCTCCACTATTATATTAAAAACTCATTATGTTTCTGGGCTGATGCAAAGCCTTGCTGAGCAGCACTGCGCTCTCACTGCGCCGTACACCCCGGCCGGTAGCAGTGTGCCTGCGCTCTCACTGCGCCGTACACCCCGGCCGGTTGCAGTATGCCTGCGCTCTCACTGCGCCTTACACCCCGGCCGGTTGCAGTGTGCCCGCGCTCTCACTGCGCCGTACACCCCGGCCGGTTGCAGTGTGCCTGGCACGCCGGGAGTTTGCATGTTATTACTCTCTTTGTGTGGGTTTTCTCCAGGTGCTCCGGATAACTCCCACAATCCACAGACTGCTGTAATAGCGCCTCCAAATTGTCCTTTGCTTGTGTGCATAAAAATGGATGGAATGGGATTTTCAGTATAGAGGATCCACCTGTCCATTGATCCATTGACTAGTTTTCCAGTGTTTCTAGGTAACGGTTAGGGTGATGGGATACAGTGATATAAAATCCCATTGCTGTATTGGCTGCGTTGTCATGGTGATCCCCTCCATGAGATGAGAGGCCCCTGGGGTCTCCTTCTACTCTCACACCTGAAACACATTTCTCTCTACAGGATCCTACCCCCGGCTCTCCCTAAGCTTCAAGCTGAAGAGGAACATCGGCTACTTCATCCTGCAGACATACATGCCCTCCATCCTGATCACCATCCTCTCCTGGGTCTCCTTCTGGATCAACTATGATGCTTCTGCTGCCCGGGTGGCATTAGGTAACGATAAAATAATGGTACCATAGCATCGTAACCCATAACTAGGATGCCAGTGAAGCACCACTTCGTAGACCACAACGGTTTCTCTTTTTACTTAATCCATTGCTGAGATATTGACATCTTACCCATGTGGTCCTCAGACAAAATTCACCACAAATTAGTGTAAAGGGCAAACAAAGATTCTCACAATGAGTGGAAGGTTTACACTCATCGAGTGAAGTTTGGCTCATGTTGGTACCAGATGGGGGAACACGGAATGAATTTACGGATACATTGAATTAACCTTTCTTTCCCAGTCAGATACCAACATCACAAATAAATCACACGGTGCACGTAGAACTTTCTGGAGACAGTTAGAAGAGTATATGATATAAATCACTTTAAGGATGTTGAAGCCCACCAAAGAGCGATATCTCCCAGGGTGCAGTGCTTTGCGTTTCTAATTCGCCCAGAATGTCATGTATTAAACGTGCAGTGAACAGACTTTGGGGGTAGTGGTGGCTCGTCTATGGAGACGCCTTCCGGTGCCCGTTCTGCGTCGTGCTGTCTTTTTTTGATCGCGGTGAAGGCGCCTCAGGAGGGGTGACTGACGCAGTACTAGTTGCCGTACTCCAGGAATCACCACGGTGCTGACCATGACGACCATCAACACCCACCTACGGGAGACGCTGCCCAAGATCCCGTACGTCAAGGCCATCGACATGTACCTGATGGGCTGCTTCGTCTTCGTCTTCCTCGCCCTGCTGGAGTACGCCTTCGTCAACTACATCTTCTTCGGCCGAGGGCCGCAGCGACAGAAGAAGGCAGCCGAGAAAGCAGCCACGGCTAATAACGAGAGAACGAGGATGGACGCCAACAAGGTCAGAAGTCCATTTTTAAATACGCGTCTTCTGTGTCCTCGCGCCCTTAAGCCACAACGACATGTAACAACATTAACTCCTGTTCATTGTCGGGAGGTTTAGCTTCACTTAACATTAACTAACATTTAGTCTAACCCTGACAAACCTCTTCAGGAGGCATTTGCTATTTAGTCCCATTTATTCCCTATTTATTCCCTATTTATTTTTTCTTGGTAACCGGTAAAAATTCTGAGAAAAAGACAATTGTAATCAGTGATAAACTATTTTGTCTGCTAAATGCTTAGCATTTAGGATTTGATAACTGCCTGAATTAAGTCTTGATAATTCTAATGAACTATTTCAGTTGTGAAAAGTTTTAATTGTTTCGAAATTTCATTTACATGAAAGAATACTACAAAGTGAGTCTCGGCAGTTATAAAGGAATTAAGATCTCTTTGCTTGATGAGTGACTAAATTCTTTGCCTTCTGCTCATTTTTGAGAATGATGAAAGGCTCATGTGACAGTTAAGCGGATAGCTTGCGTTTTCCTGGCATGATTATAAATGTGTTCTATGATGAATGTCCTCAGACCTCCATAATACTGTCTCTGTTACTTGTTCAGTGGTTTCATTGTGTATATTGGCCACATTCTAACAAATATGTATGTGTGTTACTATGTATATGTACATTACAAAATTCAAAATTTACACAGAAATGCATTTTATAGATAATCTATGGCTATGAAATCAGCATAAACATGGATGCTAGATGTTCTTATGCAATTGATGTTTACATTCATATTTATCAGAAGTATTGGCCAAAGTACATTTACAGTGATACTTTTAAGGAAATGGGAGCATAGTCTGGTGTGATTTGGTACTGCTTCACTTTTGCTTGTTTGGTCAAAAAGACATTTATTACATGTCTTTAATCCACTACCAACAAGAATAAGTTTATTCACTAAAGGGGGAGAGTTAGCATTTGTCAGAAGCACAGTAACTGAGGAATGACAATGTTTCATTTTAATGTCAAGGAACAAAATAAAATCTTAGTGCGACCATTTTTATTTTGCCCTCTGTTCATGAGTAAATCAAGTATCTCCCAATAACTAACACAATTGTCACTGATTATCTTGTATGCTTGCAGTGGTTGGTGGGAAATGTAGTTCAGAGAGATGATACTCTCTATGCCAGAATGAAACAGAGGGATATTGACGCACATGACTCAATGTGGCAACCCATCTTTGTGGAGGATGCAGCGTTAGGACTAGGCGAGCAAAAGAATAAGGTACTGCTCAAAAATGAGACTAAGTGATATAAGAGTCCACTACAGCTCTGTTAATATCCAGGCTCAAATACATGTTAAATGATTCATTCATTCATTCATTCATTCATTCATTCCATTGCCTTAGTTTCACATTCATTCCCATTATCAGTGCTGTCCTGCCTTTTCTTTGAATTGTACTGAATGACTTTAACCCAAAACAGCCACACAGCACCTGCCTTACTTCTCTGACAGATCTACATTGGCAGCTTATTGGCTGCCCCTCACTACATCCTAATACCGAATTCAGGAACAAAAACCAAAGCCTCCTATCTGTCACTGCATAACATGCAGTCATAGCAGAAGATCAGCGTCGCAGCGTAAGAGCAGCGCTGATGCTGAGAGCTGAGTGCTAGTCATGTGTTTTAGTGTATCAGTGTCGGAGGCAGAGATACAGTGTAGCCCCGTGAATAGCATTAGTGCTGATTGGAGGCAGGACTGTTCATTTGAGGAACGCTCTGGGCCATCAGTGTGTGGCCCTCTGTGTGGCCCTCTCTGCACTTGATCATGGATTGGCGTTACAAAGGCCTTTGCTATTGAAATGCACATCTTGATTATAGGCAGCTGTTCACTTATCTGTCCAGATACGCATTCTTGTGCTTTTCCTCCATTAGAATAGTCACAATTTTACTGTTAATCTCTATTTTTATTTTTTTTTACATTCTTGTTCAGTTTATTGATTTACTTATTCACAAACAGAATTTCAGACTTAATGGCTGAAATTCGTGGGTCATGATTCTGAAATTATTTTATATTTCAGGTCCCACAGCTGATTTAACATGGATTTGTCAAATGTTACTTCTAAATTGTCAATGATGTGCATATCCACTCTATAATTAATACATTTTTCTCACACAAAACGTGACTTCATTACTTGTTTAACACGTGAATGTGAATTTCTGTCCTATTTGACTGAGGTAACCACAGTAAATTAAATACCAGTCTATCTGATGGCTAAGGAGGCGGCTGACAGACCTGCCTGCGTTGTCCCTCCAGATGGACCCTCACGAAAACATCTTGCTGAGCACACTGGAGATCAAAAACGAGGTGGGGTCGTCGGAGATGACTCTGGGCCTGGGTGACCCCCGGAATGCCATGCTGGCCTACGACGCCGGCTCCACGCTACAGTACCGCAAGGCGGGCTTGCCCCGGCAAAACTTTGGCCGTAATGCGCTTGAGCGCCACGCGCCCCAGAAGAAGGGCCGGCTACGGAGACGTGCCTCCCAGCTGAAGGTCACCATCCCGGACCTGTCTGATGTAAACTCTATTGACAAGTGGTCAAGAATGATCTTCCCCACGGTCTTCTCTTTCTTCAACATAGTCTATTGGCTCTACTATGTGAATTAAGAAGAACGTTGGTGGGTTTACGACACGAGCAAGACTTTGAATCACTTCATCCAGACGTAAATCAGGATTGACTCTATCTGACCTTGGGAAACCTTAATTGCTGGCTTATCCATAAATGTCATAGACGCGGAGATCAAAGACACAACGGATCCCTGGTGCCAAAAGGTGCACATCATGTCTGTAGTAAATCGAATACTTAGAATTGTGTTTGCTTACACTTGAACATTATGGTTGGATCTATCTTTATCTTGTCCGAGTAACATTAAATTGTTACAGTGTATTTTTAGACATCAGACGTCTTCTTCAGAATCAGCAGGGTGTCTAAGAGCTCAGTCTAATCTGTGTTAATTTGAGGTTATATAAAGCAGTGGAAGTCATTTGAGTTTTGTAGAATTATTTATGCATAACACCTACAGTTATATAACCTACCGTAAATATATATTTTTGTTGTGGATACCAGTATTTGGTTGAGATATCAGATGTTTCGCATTATTTTGATGTATTGGATTTGTGTTTTGTTTTTCATGTGTAATTTCTTTTTTCAAAACCCCTGTCAGAGAAAGTCAGAAGATAAATGAAAAGCCTTTCTCGAAGTCCTCTTTGAAGTCTTACCTCTAAAGTGAAACCGTAAAGTTTACAAAACTGTATTGGACGAACAATATGGAAGTGATTGCAAGTACTCTAATTGCAAAAACGTCTGCAAAGGAGAAAAGTCAGCTACCATCCACGAGATTAACATTTTGGAGATGACTACTGTGTTAAATATGACTTTCATGAGAAGGAAGCTGCCATTCGTCTTATTTTCCTATGATGAGGTTGGAAGCCAGCAGTTAAGGCGTGTTAAAGGCCGTTAAGTCTCCCACGTTTGCAACATTAACTTTCACAATGACCTGTAAATACATTTTGTTTTTGAACAACAGTTAAAATCAGAATGAGGATTCATTCAGCGTATTCTGTGTTTGCGCAGGGAATTTTGTGCTGGTATTCAACAGTCCCGAGAACAGGTGTGGAGTCATTAACAAGTCACTTCTTGGAAAGTAATCAGAGCTTGGATGGATGTCGTGTTACTTGTGTGAATAATAGCCCTGTACATTCATTGCTGACAGTTCTGGAATATTTTCAAATGGTTTTGAGCCTTTAATAGGCAACTTATTTTGCATGGATTAAATGATGTACATATTACAAGCAAGTGCTCCTAATTCCGTTGAGCCACAAAGGTGTGTTTGCATTTCGGTGCATTTAAATCAAGGCCCATCGTGCAATTACCAAGATAACAGGACGATTTAATGAAGTTACTGAAAGGACGGACATGTGGTAAAATGAATCTCAATCTGGTAAGACAGAGTACAGTTCCTATAAAAAGCACAACAGTCAATTCTCACTGGAAAGGCTAATGAGGTCACATCTTCAAGTTTGTTGCTATGCTGCACTTTTTGTGATATTTAATTAAAGATCAACTTTATACATATGTATATTTATAGTATAACTAGTTATATCTGTATAACTCCATATAGTAATAGTAATCTAAATATGGTAAAACAACCTTTACCTACATTGCAGTGCCCTTAGCCATTACGTGGAAAAAAGCTGAACTCCCGAGAACCAAAAGCACTTTAATGCAGCAGTTCCTGGGCACCGTTTTAATGGTGGGTGAAACGTCCTGAGCCATAATGCCTACCAGATTATAAGGGGTGCCTGGAATTTATGATTTCCTCTGTATTACAACAGAAACAGCTAGAGCAAATTGAGGATTTTAAAGGCACGAAACCAGCCTGGCAACAACGTTCAGAAGCAATTTCAGTCTTTTAAAAAGAAACGGCCCCTTTGTCCACTTTCCTCTCACAGAATATTCTCTTGCCTGCTGCATGTACGTAAAGATTGGTTGGTAAAAGCCAAGAAACACATTGACTTTATGTTGCAGCCTAAGACATACTTCATTAAACTTTGCTCCAAAATGCTGACGTCGGCTGTTAGACGAAACCCCCAATTCAGTGCCTCCATGTACGATGAAAACTTCAAATACCTGTATATTCGTAGTTTTGCAGGGAGCTCTGATGGGGTCGAGGTCCACTGTCCTCTGCCAAGCTGGTGGCCGGCGGGTGCAAACATAACCAAGACAGGTTATCCGAAATAGTAAAATGACAAAAACCCTGAAGCGAGAGGACAAACGGAGAAAGACAGAGCGCAGGCACACCAAGCATGTGTCTGATTCGGGGCCATTTCTCATGGTGCCTTTACTGACATAGGTGCCCCAAAGGCACTTAGTGGTCTAACAGGAACAACATCACAGACTGACATAATAGCTACACAGCAGCAAAATTTTATGGAGAAAAATCCTGGAGATAAGTGAAAGAGGACATAAACGGCTGCTGCAGTTACTCCTACCCTTCACTGTACGCAAAGTCCGCAAGCAAAAGCCAAAAACAGGCTAATAATGTTCATCAGGTCAGGGGTAAACATCACTGCATCTGCGGCATACGCTCAATCTGTTGTCCTGGGGACCGCAATGAGAGCGGAGATCGATGCTGATATGACTGGCTGCTTCTTTTCAGGTAGTTAGATTGGAGTGTGAGGTCTGTAGTGACCTCTCCCCTCTCTCGTCTCTCTCCAGTTCACCCAGCTGACCCCGTTTAAACTCTAACAAGGTGATACTTCCAATCAGGGTCAGCAGGTCTTGCCTGGAGCACGTGCAGGAATAGGGCTAGCGCCGGTTGCCACGGACACATAAAAGCATCCAAACCCCACCTCCGGCCGTTGCTCCGCCTCCTGATCCACGTCCTGCAGGTGCACAGTAGCACTGAAAATGTGTCCCCAAAAAAATGAAGCATTGACATTTTTGGAAATTATTTAATGGAAAAGCACTGGGAAATATAGCCACTCGTCTCACGTCACAGATCATTTGTTATACATTTGAGTTTATTTTAGCAGAAAAGAAGCAATGATGCATGGTGCAGACCGATTTTAAGGTGTTACCAGTCCATAGAGGTACATTGGTGCTTAAGATTATTCGAATAAAACCTGCTTTGGTGGAAATATAAGACACTAACATATATTCAATGGGGTGGGAACCTTGCATTAAACGTGTGTGTTTGGATCATATTGCTAGGTGTGTTTTACTATAACCATGGAGTAATCTGTGGGTAACTAACTATCGGGAACATATATTTCTGTAAATATTAGAAGATTTCTTATGGCAATTTTTAAACTTGCCCAGTTTGTATTTTACTGTAAGGCGAATGCAAAGCAATTCAATGTTTTATGCTGAGGTAATAATAAAAATTGTAAATATTTTGAAGTGTCTCATAGTACATCAGGTAACAGTTGATTTTTCGGTATTTTAATTTTCGTATTTGTTTTGTCGAACATGCTGAGAACTGAAAGATATACTGTATACAGGAAGTACATCTGCCCTGCTATATTGGGTAGTTTATTACTCTACAGAAACTCTGCCTTTGCTGTAATGCACAGCAGTTCAGTCTATTTAAAGCATGTTGAATACATTATACATTAACACTCAGCGCCCAGAGTCCATAAAAATAGTTTATATGCCGTATTCTATAATCATTCTGTTAAAACATTGATCAGTCATTCCTAATTCCTAATTACGCCTCTTAATGGCCTGGATTGTGTTCAGATTAGGGGTGCAGTTCTTGGCAGAATGGCTCTTATTATCTTTTTTTGTGGCCAATTAAAAGGCAATTATAACTTAATCTACAGCTTACAGAGTCTTGCTGTGAGAAGGAAGAAAGTTTGCAGCCATCAAAGATGCAAACGGGCGTTTGCATCCATTTTTAAATATAAAGTCTGGGTGTGTATATAAACACCACAGAACAAGAGACATGCATGTTACACAAATACATGATGCAGAATACGTTTGATTTGCAGAGCTTATGCCATACTTTTATCTTTCGGGTAACTTGTGGGTACAAATGTAGTAGTACACTCTTACTGAATGCATTAATTAACCAGTAACTAAGTGTGAGTTACATACTGATTGCATTCTTGTTCATCCTTAATCATAACAGTATTACATATCACATATTTCATGCAGTTCCTGTATTTGTCCATGATTTGTCCTGGAGTAGTAACCGAGTTACTAAGTTACTCGTGCCCTGTGTTACCGTCCTTCGGGCTAATTGAAAGGTTGGGAACCTGACCCTTGAGAGCAAGAAGTGATGTCACGTAAGAGGCCCCTTCTCCTGAAATTGTGTTTGCAGAGGGTTACAGTTTTGATCCAGCACACAGGGTACACCTCTTTGTGTATTCACTATAGAGAGCTCGTATAAATACATACACACCCGGAGTATTTATTTATTGTCACTGCTGTACAGGATGTTGTCTCACCGTATCCACCTCTAGCCTTAACCCTACTCTGTGCTTTCAGTTTATTTGCTTGTCTCAGCCTTCGGTGAATGTCCATATATGACCCTGCCGCCCATCACACCATTCGGTTTTACAGTCCTGGATTTATAACTGGGTATGTTGGTGCTGCAGTTTATTTGAGAGGAAATAAACAGTCATTCTTCAGCATAAACGGTGTCCCTGCTGCTGTTTGATAGGGGTGGGTAGAGCCAAACGTGTAGCTGTGCGGTGGAGATCTTCCCTTTCAAATGGACCCGGAAGAGTTACATGGAGTAGCAATACCAACACAGGGATGATTAAAGTGGTGTCTTATGCAAAGGATGAGAAAAACTAAGTCTGGTAAAGACTCTGATTGATATACAGATTGATATATTCTGCTGTCAAGTTTTAAAAACGCCTTCTTCTTGCGTTTTCCACAGTTTTTCTATCATGCTAACATTACCTTTTTTGATTCCACCATTCAACCATTCAACCAAGCCTTTTGGTTGTACGTGTCCATACAGAACACGCCCAATTATCATAAAACCGAAAACTGCTCAGCAGTTCACCGAAAACACCAATGTGAAAGGAAATTCTTGGAGTAGATCCCACTGTGCAGCGTGAGTGTTTGTGGATCTGGGCCTGAAGCTGGGAGAGATGTGCTGGCACAGGAGTGTCACATAGCCGGGCAGCGATTCCGAACACGGCGGCAAGGCGTGTCTCCAGCGGTCAGGGCTCATGCATGGCGAGGCTGGTCCATTCATCTCATCAATCCATCCATGCATCCCACTGCTTTTCCAGCACAGGGTCACGGTGAACCTGCAGCCTATCCCAGGAAGCAGGGACCACAGTGGATGGGATGGTGACCATTAAAGAAAAGCTAAACATGTGACCAAAACCCAAGGTGTCACTTAGCTTTGTTTGATTTTTCTGCGGCCCCTTAATAAACACCAATTATCTCTTGTATTGTTTATATTTTCTATAATAATAGAAGAGATTTGCCCATTTTCTGCTCCTTCGCATTTCATTTCTTTCCCTTTAAGTCTTGATTTATCCTCTCTTCCATTGTACACTAACAGGCACAGCCTATTACCCCTGCCTGAGGGACACAGGCTTTAACGGCTTTGTGTCACTGCTGTTCTCATCCTCACCGCTCCCTTACATTTTTATGGGATATTTTACCCTTTTTTCGAAAGCACATCAATTTGCTTGTTTTTTATAGATCATACATGTTTGCATTTGGATGTGTGTGAAGTTTTCATAGAGAATTTAGGGTGAATTCCAAATGTATTTGATTGCAATTAGAGTCACTTAAAGGGGTCAGTTAATGCAGGACAAGACTGGTCTGATCACTATGTGCCATGTTCTTGTGAAGGAGTGCACATTCACACACACACACACACACACACACACACGCACATGTAGGGTAAACATATCCTTATGGGGTCCGCTCATTCATTTCAATGGGAAAAATGCTAACGCTAACTATGACAACCTTAACCACTACCCTGCCCTAACCATAACCATAAGTAACCTAACAAAATACAAGAGTTTTTGCATTTTTAGTTTTTTCATTGCAGTCACCGATTTTTATAAAATAGTGTTTTCCCTTATGGGGACCGGTTTCCTGACGGGAAAAAAACAGATATTTATCACGTTATGGGGACATTATGTCCCCATGAGGATAGGTAAACCCGCTCGCATGCACACACACACACGCACACGCATATGCACAGTCCAAGTATTCATATCTTTGTGGGGACTCTCCATCCATTTCTATGGGCATAACACTTACTGTATCCCGACTTTGATAACCCTAAGCCTAACCCAGCCCTAACCTTAATCATAAGTACGCAAAAAAAAATACAAGACTTTTGGCTATTTTAGTTCTTTGATTGCATTCACACAATGCAATAATTACAAACGCACACTTTTTCTTTGCATAAAAGATACTGCCATATTTTCAGTCATATTAGATCTTCACTTGTATCTGATCTTCACTCGTGTCTGATCTTCGCTCATATAAGATTAGCTGTCCTTTTTAGCAGCTGCTCTGATTGGAGATGTCAGCCAAATACATGACCTGACATATCTCTGGTGAGATTTTAATAACGAAATTTCAAAAGAAGAAATTATTCAAATGAAGCTGTTTCAGAAGACGCACACTTGCCATTGCTGGAGCTGCTCACTGCGACTCGTGACATTTTCATTTAGGGCAGGTGGCAATTTGACACGCAGTGTGGGATGTCACACCATCTCCGCACTTACCGGACGCGGTGCCTGCCCACGCGTCCCACGTCGCCCCCTCCTGGCCCCTCCTGAGTGCCATTTACACAACAGTGTGTATTACAGGCAGCTCCGTGTTGAAAACCCTTTTTAAAACTGTCAATCGGCTGCTTGGGCTGAGAAATGAGTATGAGTCAAGTGCTCTTATGTGGGTAGCTTTGGCAGTGACACGAGGTGCGTTTCTTATTTTGGTAGCCGCCAGCCAAAGCTCCTGATAACGCCATTTTTACCATCAAATATTTAACAAAAACAGGGTAAAGCGACCTAGATACCTCAGGCATCTAATGAGAATAATCCTCATTCCAATCCGTCATCCACTGGCTCCTGTCATCCTTATGCAAACATCCATCATTTTATCAGGACAGCCCAAAAACAGAGATAGGGCATCGTGAACATCACAGATCCGGACAGCTTGGTATGTGTGTTTTGCTGTGGCCTGTACCCAGGTGTATGAGGTGATGAAGATTAGGCAAACATTCCCACCAAACAGAATGATGTACTCGCGCTATCTTGTATGCAGAGAACAGTCACTATAACCTACACAATAGAGCAGATAATGATGAGAACTTAGCAGGACGGAGCGAGTTTCCCTGAGTATTGCAAGGTGTTAGGATCAGTTCCTGTCCTGCCCTGGTCCATGTGTCATTTCCCTGTTTGGCAAGTGGGTGTCTAGTTTTTGTTTTAGTTTTTCCTTGAGGTTAGTTCCAGTTAGTTCATGTTTTTACCTGTTTTTATCTTCTGGTTCCCGATTTGTGTCGTGCTCGCTAATAAACCCCTTTTGTTGAATCACTACCTGTATCGTCCCTCCTTTCTGATTCTCCGCCACAACAGAATGACCGACTCAAAGGGATAAATCCCCTGGCACTAGCGAACGTGCGGTCGGGTCGGGACCTGTATCCCTCAGCTCCTCTCCATTTCCCAGTCCAGCAGAGGGAACCGCTCCCAGTGTTCGATGGGTGACCTTTGCGCCCTTCAAGAATCATGGAAAAACCAGCTACACCACCTATCCATTCTCCTATCGGTGTTGTTGTTGAGATGTCCCTCGTGTCACCTATCGGGGAGGTACATAGGTTCAAAGGAGTCTTCCTGCACCGTAAGGACCTGACCGAGTCACCTAAGTTTTCTAAGCCTCATTTCCCAGTTTGGCCAGCAGGTATTGCTGGTAATCTCGGCTCCCGTACTTTCCCAGGTTACTGCTCCTAGTGGTTCCCTGGTCCCCTGGCCCCCGTGAGACTTAATGGGCTAAGCAGGTGGCTTTCACCCGGTTTTGACTTTTGTTAGGTGTTCAAGGCTAGCTGGAGTGTAGGGCTGGGCGATATCATATCAATATTATATTGTGTATGTGCAATAATCACCAGAGCTTCAGATGACAGGCGAAACATTTGCCTGGCAAACAGAATAGCAGTCCGGCTAAAATATTAATGAGATATATTTTGTGACACCCAAAATTAGTAATCTGTATAAAATTGGCATATTTTTACGTTTATTAAATTTGGTTAGTACAGCACACCAATAATACTGTATTGGTATCCTATGGTTTGGTATACGGTACTTCAGTGCGATATGCACTGTAACGGAGCACACCACAAAATCCAGTTTTGGTATACTAAGGTTTGCTATACTAAGGTTTGGTATACTAAGGTTTGCTATACTAAGGTTTGGTATACT